TGAATATGGTTCATCCCTTGCTTCGCCGATGTTTTGATACTTGAATGATGAATATGGTTCATCCCTTGTTTCGCCGATGTTATGATGCTTGAATGATGAATACGGTTCATCCTTTGTCTTGTTAAAGTTCTGATGCGTTTCGTTTTGAAGGACCTCGGCTATATTCATGCAAAACCTTTATTTTTAGTACCATTCACTGAGTTTTGTACTCACCCCTCTATATATATGTAGGTGTTGAGCAGGACGGCGGCAACGCCTAGATCGTTTTGGATGCTTGTTTTGGATTCGTGCTTATGTCGGCCTTACTTTTGTATTTACGTCGGCGATGCCCTGTTTTACATGTCGGCAAATCTTGAAAATCATGCTTCTTGACTTGTATTCGTTGTATCTTTTGTATATGTCGGCTCGAGAAGCCTTTTGATCAAGATGTAGCATGTATTTTATCTTGTTGTATTCAAGTTGTAAGTTAATTGGAAATGTTTGGCATTGCTTTTGATCTACGCACAGCTCTTATGAACCATTTGCAACTAATTTATTGCTTCCGCATTTGTGAGCCCCCTATATTCATACTCTGATTGTGTTAAGTTTTGAAAAGTTGGCCTTCGGTAATTACGGATTACTGGCCATCACGGCACCAAACTACTAGGGGCGGTTTGGGGTCGTGACACGAGCAACATAAAACCAAGCTGTCAAAACAGAGATAAAAGAGAATTAGGTACAAGGAAGACCACAATCCATGACAAGAGGATCCTATCAAAAAATATGTAATTATGCTAGTAAAAGTGCAAATAATTTTTTTAAAAGCGTTTCAGTTATCATCCTAAATTAAAGCACTTACCACAATACGAATAGTAATAGAAACCGCATATATCTGCACCATGAACACCCAAAGCATAAAAAAAAAAATTAGTCAATTAAATAATCATAGCAGCATTTGTACAAGTAATGGATGTATTGTACACTTGGATGCAACCCAACTAAAAAAATAACTTGTACTCTGCTAAATTTAAGTGTCAGACAACTTCATGATCAGAACCCAAACTTACTGCATATCGAAAAGTAACTCCAAATAGAGCACAGCTGATGAAGGTGGTTGCTAAAGGGAGAATTAGCTGAGAAATGTCGATTACTTGAGTTACTTAGTAACTCCAAGTTGCATATTTTTTCTCATTATTTTTGTTACTTAGTTTAACTTTGAAGTAGAGTACTATTAGTTTAGGAAGTTGGCCGAACAAGCTCAACTCCATAAAATACATTTCAATTGAACAAGGAATGGAAATTGAGCATTGCTTCATGTTTTTCTTTTTCATCCATTTCTCTTTTGGGTAGAATGACTGCAAGTTTCTCTCGCATGATGACAAGTTTGGGATTCAAAATTTTATGCCATCAAAGTTCACATAGTTCTGGTAGTTGAATAGCTAGCAATATCACAACAATGTATTGGCACTAAAAGAGACAGGAACTAGTTCAAGCATATATTCAATCAACAATGTTGCCACAGGAAAGAGTACATCTCACAAAAAGAAAGGTATACATGTATGTAAAAACAAACATATACAACTATTTTACTATATAAACCATACACCTAATTTAGTGTGAACATTGTCACGCTTTTTATTTTTTCAAAAATATCATTCACATTCAATTATCACCACAGTCAAACAAACTACTTGTGCTCCAGGCACATCTGTTAAGATAAGTCCTACAATGCAAAATCACAACTGTTAAGATAGAAGATAGATAGATCATTAGGAAAAAGCTTATACTGGAATAAAAATACAGTTAATCAACTTTTCTTAATGGAATTGTATACAAGGCATCAAATTAAAGCAATCTGCTGGCTTTTACATGTGGCAATTCGTCGATTGGGAAGCAAATAGCACGACATGAATCTACAAGCAAGTGCTTTAGAAAAATGTACTAGAAATTTCAGTTGGTCATCATTGTTGATTTTTGTACAGAAAATGGTAGTTTTCCGGTCATCGCCCGACCTCAATTAAATTTAAGTTAATCATGTTATTTCTTATCACCACATCTCAGGTTCTCCTCGGTTTTCCTCTATTTTTTTTTAATCACCCTCCACATGGATCAAATTACTCCTCAATTCACATGTTCAACTTAATAGGAATCGTGCAATCACACAACCAATTATGGTACCTAGAAATAAACAGAGAATATAGTATTATGCATGCATGAAGGAAGATGAAAAAATCAAAGAAACTTGATTGGAAAATGTGAACATTCATATCTCGCAGAAAGGGATGTTGGGTTCACTTTTGGAAATTATTAAATGGACCATTGATATCTCTTACAGTTTTGCAGTGATACAATCAGGAGTCTGAAACGGCGTTTCGCGACACCCCAGTCTCATTGTGCTTCCCATATGTGTTCTTGATCCCTGTATAAAAATAGAAAGATGATGGTTATTAATTTGCTATAACCAGTGTTTCTTGCAAAGGAGTAGCTCAAAAAAATGAAATACAATGCAAGCACCTCTGGCATGAAAATTACAACAGGATTGGGTGTCTCGTTGTCAAATTCTGTACTATTTGCCTTTTTCCAACCCAAAACCTAAAACATGTGATGAAAATAAGGTTAGTACATGGTCTGTCATATGAAACATGTCAATCTATTGGAAGGAACGTCACTTACAGATCTAGCATACTCAATAACAGAAATCGGCATGGTCAAGCAAATCCCAAGATATGGAACTTTATTTTCTCTGGCATACTTTGCAGCTAGCATCATTCCTTTCACACCACGATCTCCAAATTTGTATGATTTGGTGAAAATGTTCTAACTAAAAAATTAATGGCAGTCCTACTCAATACTAGCTTAAGAACAATCAAGATGGTCATTGCTTAGGTTTGAACAAATAGTATGCTTAACACTCAACTATCAAAAAGATTAAAAATATAATAAAAATAAAAGGAAGTAAGAAAAACATGCATCTATAGATAAACACGCATCTATAGATAACATGTATCCTGGTATAAAAAATAACATGGCGTGAACGGAAGAAACATGAAACAGTGAAACAATCACAAACCTATTTATACCAAATTCCAAACAAATCAGAAGACTGTTGGGAAAGAGGAAAATCAGAAGATTTGGCCATATAGCCAACAACGAATACAAAGAGGTTAGAAAATTCCCAATAATGTTCTTCTGTAATCATGAAAATAAATAATGTAAATAGAGACAAATTATGTGAGGTGTGTGTATATTCTTTGTTTCTTCTGAAAAGTACTCAACTCAACAAATCAATATCCCAATTATTTGGGGTCAATTATTTCCTCCAATTGATTCTATTTGAAGTTATATCCTCAATTAAATTTAAGTTAATCATGTTATTTCTTATCACCACATCTCAGGTTCTCCTCGGTTTTCCTCTATTTGTTTTTTAATCACCCTCCACATGGATCAAATTACTCCTCAATTCACATGTTCAACTTAATAGGAATCGTGCAATCGCACAACCATCTTGATACTTTTCCACTTTTTTGTACAACTGGTCACCTCATCCACATAGAACTAGTTTCCTATTTCAAAATCCATTTCTTCTTAATTATTCTATTCTTAAGGAGAGCTAAAATTTCTTGTCTTTAAAAAAAAATGTATTAGAAAAAAAAAATCAATGGGGATGCCACTCATGTAGAAAAAGAAGAAAAAACAAAACAAAACAAAACAAATCAGGAAAAGACACACACGAAAAAATAAAGGCATATATATCACCTCTGATATCAAAAGACTCTACAAAATTCACAACAATTCCCATGACCCAACTACATGAATGCCACCTGTATATCATGTGCATCTTGAACCATATATGCAACTAGAGTCAACACACAATCAGTCAACAAAAAATTCAACCAATGATATGGTCTAGAAGGTCTTTAAAAACTTGGTTTTTCATGTTATGTAAACTATGTTTTAAATAATGTGATTCGCAAAACAAGAGAGTTCCCATTTGAATACAAACAAATTATTGAAGATGTGTGACCTATTGGGAAGAAAAATATAAGAACAAAAAGAAGATGCCACACACCAAAAAACTAAGGCACAAAAGAAGAAGAGAGAGATTCCATAAAACTTACCTTCAATGCCTCTCATGCAGTAGCATGATCTTCTGGTGCCTGCACAAGGAACAATGAAATAACACATTGTCCTAAAAAATATTTGATAGAATATCCAACATACAACTAGTAAAGGCCCAATGCCAATTTTGCAGTTTCATCTCCAAGGTCTGAAGCTGCAATCCAGTCAACTGATGGCTTCAATGAACATGCAATACAAGCATGTAGATAGAGAAAAACGTGGGGTGCCATTAAAATAATTCATAGCCACATCATTACTTGAAAGGGAAAAATCGTAGATATTTGGTATATTTACATAGCAGATAGCTTTGAAAAGAAAGAGCATTCATGGTAAAAACAAACACTCATCATCCTATTGTCCTAACAGTTGATGAAACAGAGCTTCTTATTCCTAGAGAACAAGTTTATCAGAAATTTCTTGCCACAAGCCTAAGATCCTACAATCAATTTTAACAGCTTTTTCCTTGGGCTATATTTCGATCATTGACTTGTGGTGGGAAAAGTCAAGAAGAAAATGAAGTGAAATAAGACTCTTTTTTTTCCACTTGATAAATCCATGATCTGACCATAACACTAATTTGTGTTGGTGTGATCGTGCAGGTTTGTCACTTCTGAAATCCCAACTAGAGAATAACAGCCATACTGAACAAGCATAACGGATATCAAAACCATTCAAAAGCAGCATAAAATGAAATATTTTCAGAAACAAAATATGAACCAACAAACAATTAGCACGTTCAGTGAGAAGAAACAACAGCGCATCAACATTCAAATATCAAAACCATTCATAGAATTCACCGGATTGATTTCAATAACCAAATCGACATTGCACCATCAGTTCAGCTTGAGAGAGAGACAGAGACAGAGACAGAGAGAGAGACAGAGACAGTGGAGCTCACCGATCTAAATCGCTGAGATGAACTTCGATTTCGATTTCGAGAGAGAACTTTGAAATGGCTCTGATGAATCACCAATCTGTTTCGTTGAGACCATGCTGAATCTCTGAATCACCGAGCTGAATCCCTGAGATTATTAGGGTTTAGACAGCAGTGAAGCTCACCGATCTGAATCGATTCACCGATCTGAATCTTTGAGATCATTAGGGTTTAGACAGCAGTAGAGCTCACCGATCTGAATCGATTTTGAGAGAGAACTTCGAAATGGCTCTGATGAATCATCGATGTAAGATCTTCGAAATGGCTGTGACTTCGATTTTGAAAGATCTTAGACAGCGCAAAGAGAGAGAGCTCGAGATTTTCATTTTCGCTTATCAGATCAAAATAGCTTATTATATTCAAAATAAAGGTTGAAAAGACGGAGATAAAGAGCGCGTGGGACAACACCATTTGAAGGCGTTCAGAAGTGTCTTCTATTCATGAAACGGCGCCGTTTTGATTAAACGAGAAGGTGACGTTTACAAAATGTCATTAAATATTTGAAACAGTGACGTTTTCAAAAACGCCATTAAAAAAACGCCTCCAAAACAGATATTTCTTGTAGTGATAGTGTTTCTCACCAAAGAGACCCGGCCGGCCCCAAATGGCCACAGCCAGCTCCCAGTGTTTCTGCAATAGGTATTCAAGCTCTTCTGAATTGGAGATTGTATTGAGTTAGTTAAATTTGTAATATGATAATTGAAGTTAACAGTGTATGTCGTAACATGTTAAAGAAAGGACCAGTATTGTTTTCATTGGGACGTCTCTACCCCAGTGTGCGCATGCAAATGGACATTTACACCATACATTAGGCAGCTATAAACTCCACAAATATTTGTCTACCAGAAACGTAACTATTTTTTCATTTAGTGGATTGCTAAAAACAAGTTAGTAAAAACAGCAAGATTTAAACCTGTGTTCAAGGTGTTCTCTTGACAAAGAGAACAACCTACCAAACATAATAACACAGCATCCTTAGTGTTCCCATGTTCTACTTCATTGAGTTTTTGTAATCAGGACTTCTCACATCAATCAATAATGTATGGAATTTACTGCTCTCATGAAGGATGATATTCGGGACTCATCTTTTATAATTTCATCTGAAGCACAAATGCCGCTACTGACATCAATTCCATGCGGTCTAAGAGTAGAAAGAGCTTCACAGACATTATCAGGGTTAACTCCTCCTGCCAAAAGCCAACCATATTTGCTTCTAATTGGTGGTATTTTAAACTGGGACCAGTTGAATCCTTTCCCACTGCAGACACATGTTACAATGAGTGAAGCAGGACAGGTAAAAATGATGTATTAGCGCAGGAAAGTAACAGAAGATTAAAAAAATGACTCTCATTTCCTAATTGAATGAGGATATCTGATATTACCTATGATTACCAGCTGTGGCAAAGTGTCGCAACATTTTGAGAAATGTATATCCATAAAAACATTTAAAAATAAACCAAACCTACCTAGTGTTTTGATGATCCAATTTACACTCAACGTGGATGCTTAGGTGGTAGTGATGTGATGTGATGTGCTCTAATGCTCACATGGCGTCGATGATGTGATGATAAGGCATGATCTAAGAGTACAGTCAGCATCACGGGATATAGCCGTCGACAAGACGACTATCCAATCAATGAAATCGTAGCTATTGATCAAGTAAATGCATGATTGGATGGATAAAATCACACTCAATCACAATAATTAAAATTAAAAAAAAAATAAAATCTAAGCAGTACCCCAACCAGCTCATATGAGAACTTGAGAGTTCATAGATTTTTTAGATCTTTTAGGAGTAGGCTACATATATATCTTATAAAATAAATAAAAAAATAAAAATTTAAATTTGAATTTAAATGCCAGGTTCAACAACTCAACTTTGTATTAAGATGTATTTTTTTCGTGATATATCCACTGCAACAAAACCTCAAAAGAAAGCACACTGTAATGTGAGGAGAAAATTAAAAAAAAATGAACATTTTTACCCATCTGTAAATTACAGAAATGAGAATGATTAACATATACTTACATCATCATATACACCCCACAGTCAATCAAAAGAATAGGTGTACAAACAAATTATTATACACAGTGAAGCAGGGCTCTAACATCAGGATTGTGGTATTACAAGTTGAAACCATGAATTAAGGTGGGCATTGTTGATCCTCAGACTTAAGAAGAGCCATCCTTTGAGACCTTGAATGACTTTGCCTATTATTAAAGAAATTGTGTGTGTTAATTTCTAACTACACTGCCAACTTAGTATTCAACTGGAGAGTACTGACGGAATAGATGGTGCCTGAATGACCTACAACAGAAATAAGAGATTCTGGCAGTGGTTCATCCACCTGGCAGCACTCCGATGATCAAGTCAGTAAAATATCTCTTAAAGATAACCAAAAGTGCTTAACTCACTTGACAAAGCATAAAAGACATACCTTAGACCCATGGGGGTGCCTCCCTTTTATAGCCAACACAATCCTAGTCCCAATAGAAGCCTAGCTTCAATGGACTTGGGATTACTGCTAATCTTGGACTCCTAGTAGGATTGGGATAAACTCTCTAAGAGTCTTATCTTTATCCAAACTGAAGTCCTCTCCCATTCTAGGACTCTTGTCCCTTATCCGCTTATCCCAGATTCCGGTATTCTCGCAGATAACCTCAGCCTAGCTGAGATAACCTCGACATTATGACAAGGACACGTGGCACCTCAGCTGGCACTTCGGTGACACCTCGGCCAC